CAGGGCCACAGGGGTCCCTCGGCCAATCATGATCTGCCTGTGAAATTGGCTGCCTGCCTCCTTGATTTGGGTAGGTCTGTACCCATAGGTGTTACTGTCCCTGGCATTTCTGTAACACAGTTGGAGCTCCTTTTCTTAGTTACAGTACTGGTTCCAGTCCCAAATGTTGCTCCCTTTATTCTTCTTTGTTCTGGTTCATTCTCAACAAGGGTGCTGCAAGATCCTTTTAAGGATACTGCAGGGTACCATGCCATGCTAGGTGTTCATACACCTACCAGTACATGACTGACAAGAAGAAAACAGAGATTTCAATAGGAATCCAGAGTTTTAGAAACTTTCTGACCTGTTCTGGGTTTTTTTTAGTTCTTTGCAACAGGAAAATTGATCTTTTTTTTCCTGGGGTAAGAAAAAGTGAAGTCTAACAGTTGGCATTTTCTGTAGAGAGCCTTGAGCCTAAAAATGTTGAGAACCACTGGTTCTTCATATGGCCAGTTTTCTCCTGTCCCCTTACAAATGTGGCCTTGAATGGTATGAGCACTGTGTTGGATCCTGCCAGAGGAACAGAAATGAGTGATTAATAGGGGTCACATTCTCATAGGATACTTTGAAAGCAAAACATAATTTTAGGACATTAGCGTAAAAACAGTGGTTAATCAACACGTTTTTCTCACCCTTCTGTCTTCCTTAAGATTATAATAAGTTCTTCATTAGGGAGCCATCTTGTATGGGACCAAAATCTTATCCCGACAAAGCTAGCGGGTCTGCTCTTATAAATATTTTACTTATGTTCAGGTATGCATTGAGCAAGATTGCTTTCTGGTGACCGAATCTGATGAGAAAAGGACAGAACTTAGTACTGTGATAGCTATTTCATCCTTTATACCGTATTCTGCAAACAGAAAGCTGTTGCACAGTCTGAACATACCTTTGTGCCTGGATGGTTTCATATTTCTATTTCCATCTCTGGGTATTTCCTTTCTGTGCCCTTTTACACAAATACTAAGTTTTCTAATGGAGAGATGTGGTAGGGAGAGCCCATTACCAAACAAACACTTATGCTGGGTTACTACATGTGTACAAAGTTGATCGTTACATTTTAGTTAGGAAGTCACACTACCTGGTTTGAAGTTCCATCCAAAGTGAGCACACAGATCATTGGTGACCTGTTTTTAAATGTCTTCCCTCTTCTCCAGATGAATGAAGCAGCAATTTGTGCATACTTTCTAAAAAGTGTGTGGTGAATACGGCTTTGGAGTATAGCTTGATGAAGTGCTACACCCCATATATAACTGTTCTGCCCTAGCTAATCTTTTACAGGTGTACATAGGCCCTTGAAGAAGTTTACATATCAAAACCCTGTCCCCTAGCTCTCCCTCACAGATTGCTGGGAGATGAAGAGAAGAGCTCTGTAACCTTTGAAGAACAGGTGGATGTTGAAAATGACAATACTCCGCAGGAGGGGAATGAAGCAGAGCTTCACAACTGGCCCTAGTTATAAAAGATGGCTAAAGGAGCTGTGATAAGATTATGGAAGCAATACAGAAAAGGTAGTTTTGGCTGTCGGTGTGATGTGTGCAGTGATGCTTGCTGTTCCCAACTTGCTTAATAAAATGAAGAGTATTTGGTATTTCTTATGCTTGTGAGCTCTGGTTGCCACATGCGGACAAGAAGGAATATTCCTTCGCGCCGCGACACCCCCCCCCCCCCAGGTGTATGGGGGAGCAGGGTTTTGCCTTCCTCAGAAGCATTGGGTGTTAGCTGTAGCCAAGGCTGGGGATTTTTTGACTAGGGCAGTGGTCTCCAATCTTTTTAAGTAGGAGATCACTTGGTATTTAAAAGCAACTCAAGATCTTACTCCTCCCCTCCCCCCGCAGGTAAGTCTGTGGGGAGGGAAAGGGGGGGCAGACAAAGGCAGAGGGAGAAAAAATAATTTGGGGGTGCCTCCCAGTGGGTCTTGGGGGAGGGAGGGGAAAGGGTTGGGGGGGCAGCCATAACCACACTTCCTCCCTCATTGCTGGGGCTTTGATCTGCTTCTCCCCCCCCCCTCCCCCCCCCGCCCATGGCAAGGGAAGGCGCAGGGTGGGACACAGCAGTGGGGGGGTCCTCCCCGGCGCA